TACTTAATCCTCATGACAATGCTTTGAGGAAAATATTATTTCCATACTTTATGGATAAGTGCTTTGGTCTGAATGTGTGCCACCCAAATGCACGTGTTGAAATTCTATCTCCCAAAGACGATGATACTAGGGGGTGGGGCATCTGGGAGGTGCTCAGGTCCTGAGGGGGAGCCCACCTGAATGCGATCAGTGACTCTCTAAGAGGCTCCAGAGAGATTCCTAGCCTCTTCCACCACAGCAAGAAGACACCACCTCCAGAGCCGGGGGAGGGCCCTCCCCTGCCATGAGGGCCGCCTGATCTTAGACTGCCAGCTTCCTGAATTCTGAGAAATAAATGTCTACTGTTTATAAGCCACCCAGTCTGTGGTATTTTGTCATGGCAGCCCCAACATATTAAGACAATAAGGAAGCAGAGACAAAAAGTTCCCTTCCTTCTTTCTCTTCCTCCTTGCAGAAAGGGTTGTGGTAGGGAAAAGGTACTGTTCAGAATCTCGCAGCTGGTGAACGGCAGAGCCAGGATTCGAGAACGCATCCATTAGACCCCAAAGCCCATGCTCTAACTTCCCTCCCCGGCCCAGGCTTCTTGAATAATGGTCAGACCCCTCTGGAACAGTGCTGAGGAGTCAGCACTGCACTTAAAAGGCAATCAAAAACTAATGATGTAATGTATGGTGATTAACATAACAATAAAATTAAAAAAAAAAGCAATTTGTGGCCTGGGTGAAGATGAGTGACAAGGACAGTAAAGCACCAGGAAACCATGTCCTGAGAAATGGTGGGAGCCACTGACACTAGGGGGCGCTGTAGGGTAGACAGGGGACTCTACTTCCCTTCGGGCTACATAAGGGCAGAACTAGGACCAACGAATAGAAATCATAAGGAGGCTAATTTCAGCTCACCATAAGGAAGTATTTTCTTAACACTAGAGCTATACCATTCTGGAAAGATGCTATTGGCTAAAAGTTTTCAAGCAAAGGGTGGATGACCCTATGTCTCTCTGGGTTATTAGTACAATTCCAATTTCAAGGGGGAGACTGGACTCCTTGGCCCCTAGAGCCCCTTCCTAGACTGAGGTGGCTTTCCACACCCAGTACTGGGCATTCCATTAGATGCGTCCATCATGACGCATGCTGTGCCCAGTCTACCGCCAGTCTCCGGAGAGTGGACGGCTGTGGGAAACTGGTTTACACTGTGACAACCACAGCTTTGGCAACAGGTGACTGACCCAGAGGACAAGGAGGGACAAGGAGGGATGACAGGACTCCAGAGCAGACAACTCACAGCCTGGCTGCTGGCCTACGAGGCGGCCTATCCAAAAAGCCACATTCAAACAGGGACACACTGGGCCAAGGAAATTCTTGCTCTCTGGAACAGAAATTGACAAATAGGGAGTGAATCCCAACGGATTTCCGAAAACTAATTATGTAGGCGAGGTTGTGAGAGGCCAACAACTCGACATTATGAATAAAAAGTTACAAGGAAGCATGTGCGAGCAAGGACGGTGTATCCGTTTGCTGGGCTGCCATAATGCGGAACCACCCGCTGTGTGACTTAGAACCACATCTACTGTCTCACGGTTCTGGAGGCTGGCTGTCCAGGATCAAGGTGTGAGCACGGTTGGTTCCTTCTGAGGGGTGGGAGGGAGAACGCATACCATAACTTCCTCCAGCTTCTGGTGGTTTGCCTGTGTTCCGTGGTTTGTGGAGGCATCACCCTGATCTCTGTCTTCATCTTCACATGGAACCTGTCTGTGTCTCTGTGTCCCAATTTCCCCTTTTATAAGGACACCAGTCATCCTGGATGAAGGCCCACCCTAATGGCTTCATTAGGTCTATAAAGCCCCTAAGAATGTAGGCCCACATTCTGTGGTACTGAGGGTTAGGACTCCAACATGTTTTGTTGGGGAGAGGACACAATTCAACTGAAAACACATGGATATGAAGAGTAGATGCTATGGGATACACAAAAAGAATAAAGGGTGAGAAAGCCAGCGAGTAACAGAAAGAGAAGCAAACCTAGAGAGGAGCTAGGAGGAGGGTAATAATTTTCTTAACCCAGAGCTGCCTGTGAATCAGAACCAACCTCCAACGGCCCAGCTACATCGCAGCTTCTGCTGCATTTCCATGAGTTAACCTGTTCCTTGTTGCCATGCGTGCCCACCCATCCCTTGACCTAGTTTGAGGAAATAAATGCAGGGGTTCTGGCCCCAAAGAGCTTCACTAACAGGTCTGACACTGAGCTACCACCATCCTCAGGAACTTGTATCCTAAAGATGAACCCTGCCACCTGCGCTGTCCGTTCGCCTTTCGTCCCCAAAATTAACACAGGATGGCAACTTTTCAAAGAAGTATACCATGCAAGGAAAATCTCAAGTAACACAAAAGCTCCTCTGAATCTCTTCCACAAAGTGGTTGCAATTTGGGGCCACCATTTTGAATGGGCAGAAACAGATTCTCCAGTGGAAAGCACCACTCTAGCCAACTCGCTTTTCATTTGGCTAACGGAGCCGACGGTCATAAAACATCTTGAGGTCTTTGGGATGGAATCAGTTTTGCAAATCAATTATGCAGCCAGGCAGTGCATCTTTGAAGATGCAAGAATAGGAAAGTAATAGTCCTCGTCCCCAAGGGACTCACAGCCTCAGCAAGAGAGGCAGTAACTCCCCGACACCCCTCAAAAAAGGCCTGTGCTACATCATGATAGAGAGTTCACAGAGAGCGGGGGGAACGCTGACTATAATGATAACCAGGACGCAGGGATGCAATCTGCCTCAGGCCACCGGGCAGGGTTTCTCCCGGGGGTGGGTGCGCGCCTGTGTGCGCATGCGCACATGTGCATACCCAGAAAATGTAAAAGGCCCTTTTCCTGCAAGGAACTAATCGTTCTAAGCTTTGGGAGAAACAGGGTTCTTCTTTTGCCTAATTCCCTTCTTTTCGAGTAATAAAAAAAAAAAAAAAACAACTGGTTGTCCTGCCTTAGTTTAAATAAAACAACGCTGTTTCATCAGTCTTCAAATTGCTATTTCTTTACCCTTGGCAGTTTCAGGTAGATGAGAAAAAAACTTTCCAGTGTTAGATTTTCTGGGAGGGAGAAGGCAGGAGACAAAAGAAAGGCCAGGGAAAAGCAGGTGGAGACAGGTGGACAAGGATACACAGGAAAGGTCTGGAGGCAGAAAGTGAAAGGAGTAGAAGGTAGGGTGACCATCTCATTTCAGGAATGCCTGCAGTTCCTGGGAAACCGGGACTGTTGGGTCACCATAGCATGGGGACCAAAAGGTGGCAGGGTGAGGGGGTGGCCCGGTGAGAATGTGGACAGGTGCCCACAGCCCTTGAGATGCTCTCTGCATTGGGAGGGAGAGTCGTGTTGATCCTGCCTCTGGATCCCTCTTTTGAGAAGGTGCCCGCTCACTCACCGAGATTGCCCAAAGCATTGAAACTGCCAAAGTTCTTCCAGCCCGGGGCCATCAAACCTTCGATGGCACTGCTTTGTTGGAGCTCTGGCTGGCATCAGTAAGTCCCGCAAGATGGACTGCGAGGTACAAGGCCATTCTCCAGGGTCTTGGCCATTGCCAGCAGGTTGGCTTTGGGGCATGGAGTTTCCTCATTCCTGCTGGATCAGGGCTGCTATTGCGGCGGGGGGTGGGTGGGTGGGAGCAGCACAACATCACCAGGAACACAGGGTGCAGGGGAAGGAGGGCCACTGGTTCCAGTCCAATCATAGCAGAACCTGGGGGGTTCAGCTGGGGGGTTCTTGACATACTTGCAATTTCATAAATGTTTGAAACTGAGCATGTGCTCCTTGTTCTGCCTTTTGATTGTGTCAGTGTCAATGTCCTTGTTGTGATATTAGACTATAATTTTGTAAGATGTTATCACCGGGGAAACTGGATAAAGTGTACATGGGATCTCTCTGTATTCTCTCTCTGGGAGGAAGTTACCATTATCTCAAAATTACAAGTTTCATTTAAAAAATGGGCAAATCCCAGAAGATGTATGGAGAGCAAAGAAACATAGGAAAAGGTGTTCAATATCACCAGACATCATGGAAATGCCAATTGAAACTACGATAGGGTTAGTTCATATGCATCTATGAGAATGACTAAAACAAAACAACAAAAATACCAGTCTAAGTGTAATGTACCGAATGTGTCCCCTCAAATATATCTGCTGAAGCCCTAACCCGCAATGTGATGGTATTTAGAGGTGGGGCCTTTAGAGATAATTAAGTTTAGATGAGGTCACGAGGGTAGAGCCCCATGATGGGACTGTTGTCCTCATAAGAAGAAGGGAGACCAAGGCTTTCTCTCAGCCATGTAAGGACAAAACAAGCAGCCAGCCATCTGCAAGCCAAGAAAAGATGTCTCACCAGAACCCAACCATGCTGGCACCCTGATCTCGAACTTCCAAGCCTCTGCAACATCAGAAATAAGTGTTCTTTAAGCCACCAGTCTATGATATTTTTGTAATAACAGCCAGAGTGGACTGAGACACGAAGTGCTGGTGAGAACATGGCGTAGCTGGAACAGTGACATATCACTGGTGGGAATGGAAATGGTAGAACCACTTTGGAAAAGGTTTGGTAGTTGCTACCCTAGTTAAAAAATCCCACTCCTAGGCATTTACCCCGGAGAAATGAAAACACATGCCCACACAAAGACTTGTAAGCAGAGACTCATAGCAGCATTATTTATAACAGCCCCAAACTAGAAACAACCCCGATGTTCATTAACTGGTTAATGGATAAATAAATTGGGATATATCCATGTAGTGGGATACCATTCAGTAATTTATGCCAAATAAAAGACTACATATCCTATGATTTCATTTATATGAAATCCCAGAAACAGTAAACCCTTATGACAAGAAAGCAGATCAGCGTTTCCTGGTGTCAGAGGTCAGGGTGGGGGACATCTGCAAAGGGACGGCAGAAACCTTTGTAAAAAAGTGATGGAAATGTTTTATACTGTGATTGTGATGGTGGTCACACAACTCTACACTCACCAATCTCACCAAGCTGTACTCTCCAGGGGTGGATTTTACTGTATGGAAATTTTAACTCCATAACGCTGGAATGGGGAAAAAGAGAATATAGAAAGTGGCTGGTTACTATATATAGATATATCCCAATAGTTTCCATTTATAGCAACAACCAGTTAAAGTACAAAGGAAAAATATCTCACGGTAGCAATAAAAGTATTTAGAAGTCAATTTTAAGAGACTGTAACTGAAGATTTAAATAAATTGAGATCCACTCAATTCTTAGAAGAGACTCATTGTAGAGACTATTGTAAAGATATCACTTACTCTCAAGTTAATGTAGGAGTTTAAGAAAATCCCAAATTAAAACACCAAGTTTTAGAATCTGGCAAAGGGAATCTAAAGTTCACGTAGAAGGATCCATTTTTAAGTGATTGGAAATGAGTGGTAAGAAGTTTGCTTTGTCAGATATTAAAATACACTATAAGGCTAAAATAATACAAAACTGTATGGACAGAACTGAAATTGAAAGATTCATAAAACAGAACCAAATTTGTTAAATCTCCCAATTATCCATGCATATAAAAGATTTCAGTATATGATAAAAATAGAATTTCAAATAAGTGGAGAAAGGATGGATTAGTCAACAAATGCAGTTGAGACACTTTCTTGGCCAAAAAGAAGAGGATGCATAGTAAGATATGAGTGAAATCATTTGTACTATCTTATGAACACCCCTTTCAGCTCAATAAGGAAAAGATGAAGAGCTGTATAGAAAAACAGGGTATCGGGGCGCCTGGGTGGCACAGTCGGTTAAGCATCCAGCTCGGGTTGTGATCTTGGGGTGGTGAGATGGAGCCCCGTGATGAGCCCCAAGTCGGGGCACAGAGTCTGCTTGAGCTTCTCCTTTTCTCTCTGCCCCTCCCGCTGGTGCTCTCTCTCTCTCTCTAAAAATAAATAAACAAGTCCTAAAAAAAAAGAAAAACAGGCTATTAGGGGTGGACCCCAGGATCCAAGCCCCATATTCCTGTCCCAAGCCTGGTACAGGACAGCAAGCCTGTCTGCCTTCTAGAAAGCATGAAGCTCTGTTATGAGGGTATCATGGGATCAGGACTGAGCAAAGATTAGACACTCCTTTTTTCTGGGAATCATGTAAGTCTCTTCCCGGGTTTTCATGAGACCCTACAAAAGAAGGTAGACTCCCAATCAAGGGTTGAATGGCCCACTCCTAGATAGGGTGGAAGCTTGCCAATTCCATTTATTTTGATTTTTTTCAGCTCGATTAAACTTGTCCAATAGAAGAAGAGATACCTGCTCAAGGATGTTTATTATAAAATTTTGGCTGTTTTTAGTGGCAAAAGAAATTAGAAATAACCTGAAGTTGCATGGTTGGTTCAATTATCCACGCCACGGAGTAATATGCAACTATTAAGAGAAAGGGTATCAGCCTGCCTGGCTGGCTCAGTCAGTAGAGCACATGACTCTTGATTAGTTTAAAAAAGAGAGAGAGAGAGAGAGGGAGAGATGATATCTCGGCTTGGGTCCCCCAGAAAGAATTATACTGTGTTCCACCATGTTCATGGGGATGGCTCTCCCAGGGAGGCTGGAAGCAGGTGGGGGATGGGAAATGAGACAGAGAAGGAGGATGGAAGGCTCCTCTGATCTGAGGCTGCATCACTGAGCTTAGTAACTTAGGAACATCCCTCAGCAACAGGCTGGCTGGCCCAGGCTTGACTTTCTCCAGAGACTGTACATGCGTTACTGCTTCTCTGGGGAGTCCATCTCAGGGGAGGGAGGAAGAACTTATCCTGGGGCTCCCATATATCACTGCCAAAGGTCCATCCCGCGGCAGGTGGCTGGAAGCTGACTGGCTCCCAAGGACCTCACACCAGAGCTGCATCCCAGAGGCCTGGGGTGGGAGCGGGGAGCAAGGGCTGTCTGCTCGGGGCCCAAGGAAGTCAAGTCGGAGTTGGCTGCTGTGGTGGCAGCCGGACAGAACATCTTGTCAAGGGTCAGATGAGACCCAGAAGACCCGAGCCAGTGCCTAAGAGCTGTGGGATCTAATCATGACACCCAGCGCTGGCACGGGTGTGAGAAAGTAGCTGACTGGAATATAAATGGTGACTATCTCTGTGGAGTCTTTATTTTTTTTTTTTAAGATTTTATTTTTATTTATTTGAGAGACAGAGAGAGCATGAATAGGGGGAGGGGAGGCGCAGAGGGAGAGGGAGAAGCAGGCTCCCCGCTGAGCAGGGAGCCCAATGCGGGGCTCCATCCCAGGACCCCGGGATCATGACCTGAGCCAAAGGCAGAGGCTCAACCGACTGAGCCACCCAGGGGCCCCTCCTTGTGGAGTCTTTAAAAACTGGCTTCCTTTAGATCCAGCAATCCTACTTCCAGGATTTGTCCTGGGTAAATAATTACACACATTGACGAAAATGCCCAGAGTGCGTTCTATAGGACTGCCAGCAGCTGGAAAGAGCCTTAAGCCCAACAATTAGGGATTGGTTAGAATTATAATAAGGGGCACCTGGGTGGCTCTGTTGGTTGGGTGTCTGACTCTTGGTTTTGGTTCAGGTCATGATCTCAGGGTCCTGGGATGGAGCCCAGCAGGGAGTCAGCTTCCCCCCCTCCCTCTCTTTCTGCCCCTCCCCCCACTCATGCACCCTCTCTCTCTCAAATAAATAAATCTTGAAAAAATAGCTTATAATAAAGTATACTGAAATCCTCTGCCGTTATTTAAAATTATGAAGCAGTTCAAGAGATACTGATATGGATGGTCGCTGAACACAGTTAAGTGAAAAAAGCAACAAAGAATGAATAGTAGGATCCCATTTTCATAAAAACAACTCTGAAAAAACATTTATCTGGATATATATTTTCATACAAATTCTGGAAGGTTATTCTTAAGGATACGAACAATATCTCTGGTTAGTTTTATTTTTTTCTTCCTTTTATATCTGTAAATGTTATATGTTTGGCAATGATCACGGGAATATACAATTCAAACCAATTTTGTTTTAAAACACTGACTGACACAGGAAAAGCATTCTGACATTTTAGATATTTGAGCTACTTGAGGCTTAACATGTAAATGACTGATAAATACCATAAATTGAAATGATAGGATCATTCTTCCATTCATGGGATATCAACAAATTATCCAGAATAGCTCCTACAAACCAGGCACCACGCCAGGTACTGGGGATAGAGGAAGACAAAACAATTACAAATTGTGTGTTGTGTTACGAAGGACAAAACAAACAAACAAACAAACATGGTACTTCCCTAGGATATCCCTTCCATTTCAAAGGAAATATATTTTAGCAGCATTAAAATTTTTTGAAGTATTTCTATACTTCGTCTTATATTTTAGGTCTACAACAAAACATTCAATTAAATGGTAAAATGTACTTAAGAATTTTTAAATATTAGTCATAAAAATATAAAAATGAATAAGAATCCAGATCAGGAGGCCAATAAGAACATATATATGCAGACCTTCTTTTGTTGTTATTATAGAGTTTAATGTGGTTCTGAGCTTCCAAGCAGCCAGGTGAAAAGGGAGAAACATTTACATTGTTCTTGCTGTCAGGAAGCAGCAGATGAAGCAATTTTTTCAGGAGAAACTAAGCTTCTCCCAGCACTTCCCTGTAAAAGCCATTTCTCATATGGTTACGCCGACAGTGACATTAGTAACTACTATCCTCCATATGAAACAACTAGAGAAAAACTCTCTGCTACTCTATAAGCCCAGAGAGGACAAGGGCCATGCGTGTGTCTGTGTCGAGCACGGCACCTGGGCCCAAGGAGGATGGGAAATGAGGAACAGCAGAGTAGGATTTCACTCTGCGGTGTGGCTACCTAGACATCTATCCCTAATGCATGTCTTGTTCATGATGTCAGAAAACAAACTGGATTTTGGTCTGCAGAAGCAGAAGGGCTGTATACCCCTGTACTCTGAAAAAGGCCAGTGGTCACTATGGGTGCTATTCCTTGGACTTTCAATTTGGCATCATTTCTAAGCTTGTATTAGGTTCTCCAGAGAAACAAAACCAATGGGATGGGGATACACACAGACACACAGACACACAGACACACAGACACACAGGCACACAGAGGATCCATCATAAGGAACTGGTTTATGTGATTATGAAGGCTGACAAGTCCCATGATCTGCAGGGTGAGTGGGCACGCTGGAGCCCCAGGAAAGCTGATGATGTAGTTTTAGTCTGAGTCTGGAGGCCTGAGAACCAGGAGAACTGATGTAGTTTTAGTACAAAGGCTGCAGGCTTGAAACCCAGGAAAAGCCACTGTTTCAGTTTGAGTCTGAAGGAGGAAAAGGCCAATGTACCTACCAGTCTGAAGGTAGTCAGGCAGGAAGTAATCTAGCTTACTCTGCCCGAAGGTCAGCCTTTTTGTTCTGCTCAGACCTTCAACTGATTGGATGAGGCCCACCCACATTAGAGAGGGCCATCTCCCTTACTCAGTCTACTAGTTTAAATGTTATGTTATGTTATGTTATGCTATTTATTTGTTTATTTTAAAGGACGCTCCACGCCCAACATGGGGCTTGAACTTAATACCTGAAATCAAGAGTCACATGCTCTACCACATGAGCCAGCAAGGCACCCCTTAAATGTCAGTCTTATCCAAAACACCCTCACAAAACACTCAGAATAACATGTGGGCAAATAACTAGACATTCCATGGCTCAGTCAAGTTGACACAGACAATTAACCATCACAAAGCTTTACCATTAATAGACAGCGAAACCAACTGTGATTCACCAGGCCTGCCAAGTAGCATGAAGGCTATAAATGCATTTACCGGAGAGGAGATCTATTTTACAGCAAAACCGACAAAAAAGACAATGCCAAAAAAGGAAAGGGAAAACAGGAGACAGTAACAGACTGTGCACTAAAAGGCAACTTGAGACCTAATGATAAAGCAAGTAGGAGGAGGAAGAAATTTTTAGAATCCCAAGAGTCGGAGGCTGAAGTTATTGTCGTGGAAGGTGAGAACAGATGGTGATGCTAAATGGAAAAGGGTAATGTCCAAAATACACAAATTAATAGGGACTTGAGCAGCCACTGGGACTCGGGACTTCTTAAAGGAAGACCCATGGGTGTTAAGGTAGGATGAATGGGGACAGGTGAAGCCCGAGTTTTCCATGACAACTGTCCTTCACCCTGAAGGACAAGCCTAAGTCATGCTCTCAGTGAGGGAAGTATGGGAGGAACAAGTCAATCAGAGGGGTTTGATCTGAGGACAAGGAGTAGATTCAGGCAGATTCAGCTCTGTGGTAGGTTAATTCACGCAGCCAGGTACAGCACCAGACAGTAAGAGCTGCATAGCTGACTTCTCTGCCCCTTCACTTTTCCCTTGACCGTGCTCTTGCTCACAGATGCTCCCAGACCTTCCCATCTCAGACAGAACCCCAAGTCCTTGCCTGCTTCTTCTGTGTCTTTGAGCTACCTTCCTACACTCCTCTTCCTCCCACCACCAAGTCTCTAAAAGTCTTTCAGATGCTGCCTCCATTCTTTTTCTACCCCACTTGCTAAGTCCTTAGCTTCTCAAACAATACTTTTACCAATGACTTTTTTATTTTTCTGGGTAAACTTTACACCCAACATGGGGCTTGAACTTATGACCCTGAGATCAAAAGTTGCATGCTCCGCCAACTGAGCCAGCTAGGCACCCTTACCAATGATTTATTTATTTATTTTTTTAAGATTTTATTTATCTGTTTGAGAGACAGAGAGCGAGCAAGCGCGAGGGCAAGCACAGAACAGGGTGAGGGGCAGAGGGAGAATCAGTCTCCCCTCTGAGCAGGGAGCTCAAAGCAGGACTCGATCCCAGGACCCTGAGATCACGACCTGAGCAGAAGGCAGATGCTTAATCACTGGACCCAGAGGCTCCGGCTCAGCCCTCACCTTTTTTTACTTTTAAATGGTGCTGCACCGATTGACAGTGATCTTGTCATTCCTTCCCTTGGGTCCCAGGACCCAGCACTATCCTGGTTGTTGGTCCGGCCCACTGTCTCCCCTTCCTGGCTCTTCCTCTTCCTGCCTGTTCAATATATACACATTTTTAGACATTTTTAAAGATTCTGTTCTCATTCCTCAGCATTTTCACCTTTCTGTTCTCTCTTGCTCAGAAACTGCTCATTCCCAGAGCTTCCTGCTGTCTCCTCCAACGCAGTAAAAACGTCTAACTCCCTCCACTCTGCCCTGAATCTGTCTCTCCAGCTTGTCTTACAGTTTTGACTGCCTTCTGGCCATTTCCCCTCAACTACACACCAGAACCCCAGATGCATAGTTCTAAAATCTGACCTTCCTGTCTTCACTAACATTGTCAACAGTAACCACATCATCTCCACCCCCAGCGTACGAGCCGTCACTTTGACTTAACAACATTCTCCCCTGGAAGGGCTGTTGGATTTAGCTTTCTTCCCCATTTTAACTTCCAATTCCACCTTAGCTCAGCCCTCTTTCATCTCACTGTCCAAATACTGCACTTGCTTTTTAGCTGATCTTTTTGCTCCTTCACTATCCTTTTCAATCCACCATTCACTGTGCTGGGAGGGAATTCTCCATGTACCCCTCGCATTCCTGCACCGTCTGAAGTGTCTGAGCACAGGCATTTACACCAATTGAAGAATCTTTATATAAGAAGACACTCCAAGGTAGTAATGCTTAAAGAGATCTCTCCCTCCTGAGACGTTCCAGAGTAGTAAAGATAAAGACCTGCCTTTCCTTCCCAGAGAAGATTTGTTTACATTCTTGAGTAAAGATAAGGGCTCTCTCACGAAGGATGAGCGGGTCACCAGCAACTCCAGATAAGGCAGGAGCCTAATTTTGCGGTTCCTCCGGTAAATGCCCCCACTGCATGTGCAGGTAGCAGCGGGCCCTCACTGTGCTGCCCTGCGGCACTTGGGGGAATCAAGCAGGCTAACTTGTTGATTTGTAAGAAGGGTACAATCTCAGGCCCTTTACAATTCCTGACTTAGCACAATACCACCAAATTATTTTGGAAAGATCGGCTTTGACCATGCTACTTCCTTGCCTGAGATCTTTCTTCAACGGCTTCCTATTACAGAAGGAAATTCAAGGTCTTACTTGTCGTTCAAGTGCCTTTCTGGCCTGTGCTCACTCCTTCCCTAGGTAGACCCTGTGCTCTAGTCAATCAGGAGATGGGTCCCAAAACACAGACATCCATATCCTGCCTCCCTGCGCTGGCCATGCCTGGAATGCTCTCCTAAGATTGCAGATGAGGGGGAAAAAGCCAAGAAGCACCCGTGCACAAAACGCCATGGCCATCTTTGAGGAACAGGGAACCAAACCACTGATTTCTCTATTTATGTTGCCAGAACTCCCACCAGGTGCACTGGTGGGAGATCAGCGTGTCCTTCACCCTGGCCACAACCAACCGGGCTGCAGCCCCGGGGAACCACATGCTGGTTGGACATCGGGGAGCCGAAGTGCCTCTGGGAATGCTTGGCTGGAAATGCTGTCCAACTAGGAGCTCTGCATTTGATGGTGGCCAACGCATCCCAATGTCTCCTCCCTTTTGAGAAGTTTAAAGGAGTAAGAAGAGGCAGCTCAGGTTCTAGTGTGAACAAGTGAGTCACAGTTCCAGTTCTCTGGGAGGCTTTCTTTCCCAATCTTTGCCTATCCACATTCCTGGGTATTTGGCTGGGTAAACTCCCAGCCAAAGATACTGAGAGCACGCGTTTTTCTTGTAGGCTTTAAGCTTCATTCGAGCGTCCTCCTCAGCAATCTCTAAGATATGTGTACAAAGACGCTGGCTGAAGCATGGTGTGTAAACAGCAAAATAAAAACATGCCTATTAATATAAGCTGGCTAAGTTATCATATTTCATCATCAGTTATAAGATACATCCCAATTTCGCAGATATAAATATCAATAAAATAGCCCACAGTGGTTTTATGTCACTGATTGTTCCAATATGTGAAAAAAAATGTGCCTTTTAGAATTAAAAAAACTAAGGTATTGTGCACTCATACAGTGGACTCTTCTGCAGCTGGGACAGGTAAAATAGGGCTGTGGGAGGAACATTTCCTTCAGAACAGGGGGTGGGCAGAGACAGGAGAAACGACTGCATGCATCGGCTTACGCCTCAAGGTGCCACAAATGGAGAGGTGTGTGATGTTACCTGTAACAGTTGTGCTGGAAAAGCAGACTTAATTTTCTTAAACTAGGAGGTGGGCATATGGGTGTATGTTTTAGTATCATTATACATTTTTGTACGTCTGAAATATGTTATACTACATTTTCTTTAAGAGGGCTAGCCACCTCTTTTACTGCCCCTGTTCTTTGGGAGACCTTGTGTCCAATGACAGCTTAAAAAATCAGGTTGAAGGACCTAGTCACTGTCTCTTATTTCCACATGTAAGTTTTTAGGAAAGAAAGAATTTCACATCCCAGCAACACCTGGTATGTGCACACATCCAACTGATCAACATTTAGAGACCTAAGTGATTACTAAAATTTTGTTTTCTCCTTCTTTCTCAATACTATAGACTTTGGCTTCACATCAACCACAGTTTGGCCTAGATCAAAGCAAGATCAAATTTGCAAAAAAGCTATTTTGGCATAGTTGTTAACAACAACAAAAAGCCTTTAGGGGCTCAGTCGGTTAAGCGGCTGCCTTCAGCTCAGGTCATGATCTCAGGGTCCTGGGATCGATGTCATATTGGACTCCTTGCTGGGGTGGTGGGGGTCTGCTTCTCCCTCTCCCTCTGCTGCTCCCCCTCCTTGTGCTCTCTCTGTCAAATAAATAAATAAAATCTGTAAAAAACCCACAAACTTTAAAAAACGTGTGTGCATGGAGGAGGGGGGCATTTCAACAGAATTCCCTTAAATACTAACCTCCTGGTTATTTATAAAGTGGGTTGAATTTTTAGGGACACGGTTCCCAAAGCCGGGCATGATTCAAAGAGTGCAAGTTTTGGAGCCAGACTCTGTTGACTCAGAACCATGCCAGCTGTGTGGCCCTGTAAAGTCACCTAACTTTGCACGGCGTGTTTTCTCCTCTGTAAAACAGGGACCATAAGTAGATTACAGGGTGTTGTAAAGATCGGAAATAGTAAACACGGTGCTGTGCCCGGCATACAGTCATTACCCAAAACATGGTGATTACTCGGGGCACGCGGGATGTTTTGTCTCGGTACCGGCGCTCGGACTTTGCGCAGTGCGCCTCCTCATCTCTCCCTGCTCCCCCTGGGGCACTCAAGAACTCTCTCGCTCTCAATTTGTTTCCGTTCAACATTTATGTGCAGGTCACGTAAGCCAAGGCCTCTGGATGGCTTACAATCAAACTAACATAACACAGTACAGAAATAACCATTTCAGAGGGTTTTTTTGTTTGTTCGTTTTTAATGTGGCAGAGGAACTGGCACCCCCAGGAAGGTGCGCTCTTTCTACACGAGGGGACCGAGAGGGGCAGCACCGCGGCCTCCAGGCACCTCCCGGTCTCCGCAGACCGCCCGCCCGCTGCAAGGCGTGGGGCGGCCGGCTGGTCCCGGTCCTTTTCCGGGAACACCCCGCGACCGGGAGGGGAGGCTCCCGAGAGCGGCAGCGTCCGCACTTACCAGGGCGAAATGCACCAGGGCGTCGTAGCAGAGCCAGGCCAGCACCCCGCGGTCCGCCGCCCCCCGGCCGCGGCCC